AAGACCCTTGCCCAGCGGGGCTTCTCCAAACAGCTGGGGGCAGGATGGGAGCTGTCCCCCTTCTGACTGGTAGCATATTTGCTCTCGATTGGCATCTATACACACAAGTTTGCTACCTGTATTTCCAGGTAATAGCTAACTGTGCGGTGGACTAATTTACTACACACTAAATGGTGTGCATGTGTACATTAGTCTGCTGTGCAGTAAAGCATCTTGTGAAGAAACCCCCACAATATCTTTCTTCTTAGGAAGTAAGCTTGGGGAAACCTGCCTTTCTGAACCGTATCAAATATTTAGTTGTGAGATACTCTGAAAATGTTTCTTTAATTTTGAGCTCATTTTTGTGAGAGCTTTACACAGTCTGCAGCATGCCTTCAAAAACTGCAAATTCTTCAACCTCTATGAGACAGAATGAAAGACAAATGGGTGTCTGACACAGAGTCTTAATCAAAAGAGCAACAATACAGGTATCCACTTCAAGGTAATTGTAATTGTAATTGTAAATTGTAATTGTCAATTTAAATTGTAATTGTAAATTTACAATTGTAATTGTAAAAAGGGTGTTGGGGGACCTGGCAGGGGTCATCGCGGAGCCCTTGGCCTGGCTGTATGAGCATTCGTGGTCATGTGGCCAGGTGCCGGGGGATTGGAAACTGGCTAATGTGGTCCCAATTTTCAAGAAAGGGAGGAAGGAGGACCCAAGTAACTACAGGCCTGTAAACCTCACCTCGGTGCTCAAGAAGATCTTGGAGAGAATCATTAAGGAGCACATCTGTGGGGGGCCTGCAGGGGAGATCATGCTCAGGGGCAACCAGCATGGGTTCATCAAAGGCAGGTCCTGCCTGACCAACCTGATTGCCTTTTATGACCAAGTAACTAAATCCTTAGATGATGGTGTTGCCATGGACGTACTCTTTCTAGACTTTGAGAAGGCCTTTGACACTGTCTCTCACCCCATCCTCATCAATAAATTAAGTGACTGTGGCATTGATGCCTACACAGTTGGATGGGTAAAAAATTGCTTGATGGGGCACACCCAGAGAGTAGGGGTGGACAGGTTGTACTCAACCTGGTGAGATGTGAGCAGTGGGGTCCCCCAGGGCTCGGGCCCACACTGTTTAACATCTTCATCAGCAACTTGGACAAGGGGGTGGAAAGCATGCTGTCCAAGTTTGCTGATGACACTAAGATGTGGGGCGAGGTGGACACACTTGAAGGGAGAGAGAGGCTGCAAAAAGATTTAGACCGACTACAAAAGTGGGCAGATGAGAATAGGATGGGGTTCAACGTAGACAAATGCAGGGTGCT